TGTACTGTATAATGATAGATTTTGTTCTTCCTGTCTGGATGAAAATTTTTCCATTGTTATTTTAGGACGTGATAGCGAGTTCTGGCCACTCCTTAATTGTCTTCTTATATTATTAAAACGTCTCAAGTCACGTATCTGGCAGCACATCAACATCGGGAACCACGCTGACCTCTTCTGCTTGGTTGCACTACATCCTGCCTATCTTAACGAAGTCAAGAGATTGCCTGGCTATAACGGGAAAGATGTTGAAATAACTTATGAATGTACAGCTTCATCTGGTCAAGGCCTTGCTTACAGGGAAGGTCAAACGCAAAGGTATATGTATAAACGTTTCGTATCTTTATCATTTATAGACCTACCCTGGTTCCAGAGGTTTATTTTTATTATTTTCATTGCGAAGGCGAGAGGAAAAATAAACCTCTGGTTGAAAGCGGCAATATAGACCTTTCCCCTTTTGGGTGAAATTTTGATCTAGACAAGTCTAGACAAAAATTTTATCACGGCTTGAAAGAACATCACAAAATTAGTAATATTCCGAAGTTTCGTTGCGAAATGTTGTAAAATGCGGATAATATAGCCTTGCGAAGTTTGCCGTTTTTCAGTCATTTTGTATTACAAACGGGAAATTGATAATCAGATGATCAAACTGCACTCAAGAGGAAACTATTACGTTGTCTCAACATTACGAACGTGCAGATTAGGACGAGAGTAACAACAACTAAACTAAACTTAATTGTTTTTGTTTGTGGAAACACCACGTAAATTTATTACTGCAAAGCTTTCGATCCGTAAGCCCGGATCTTCAGTTATTTAATTAATTAACGTGCGCTCAATGAAAGAACTACGTGAACTGCTTCATCGCGAATAAACGCTATTGATTGCTTACGCACTTTTTTGCTCACGCGCCGCTTGTAATATAACGACATATCTTGCAAAACATTGCTGAAGATGAATCTGATTTAGATTCGAAATATACAGTTCAAGTTAATAAATTGTGTGTTAATATTACGCACTCCTTATTCGGAATAACTCTTGTTTTATTTTTGCTGAAATTATCAGCCGGAAAAGAAAACTGATTACCAATTTCCCATTTGTAATACAAAATGACTGAAAAACGGCAAACTTCGCAAGGCTATATTATCCGCATTTTACAACCTTTTGCAACGAAACGTCGGAATATTACTAATTTTGTGATGCTCTTTCAAGCTGTGATGAAATTTTTGTCCAGGCTTGTCTAGATCAAAATTTCACTCATAAGGGGAAAGGTCCATTGATTCATTGAGCCGCGCCAATCAGTTTGAATTAGGGTCAGATCCTGACTCTGTCTCCTGATTGGATGATTGTATTAAAGCTCTCTGATTGGTTCAAATAGAACATCTATAACCAATCAGAGAGCTTTAATACAATCATCCAATCAGGAGACAGAGTCAGGGTCTGACCCTACATGTAATTCAAACTGATTGGCGCAGCTCAATGAATCAATTGCCGCTTTCAACCAGAGGTTTATTTTTCCTCTCCCCTTCGCAATGAAAATAATAAAAATAAACCTCTGGAACCAAGGTAGGTGGAACAACGGGCGAAATATTACTCGAAATGATCATATAAATATCATCACAATTTCACGTTTTTCCAATTTCCAATTGTATTGATATAACTGTTACTATATCAACACGGAAAATGTTTAATTTATATTTGTTAAATAAATAACAAATGTTTTCGGATTCTATGAAAAGCTACAGTATGTACACATCGTGCCAAACAATATCAAGATAATGATTAAGAATAACGATAATTACGATATATCGTTGCTCATGTTTCTACCTTCGATACGATAATCATGAGTGAAAATATCCGTTATAGAGGATAGTACACGCCGGCGCGAAGATATGACTTATCGGTGACCCCCGTTTTTTAATTGATAATTTATTTTTTTAATGTATTTTACATTTCATATCCGAAATTAAAAGAAAAATCATTTCTGGATCTTAAAAAAAAATGCTTTATCAATGTATGTTCTCAAAGAAAGATATGTAGATATATATATATGTAGAAAGATATGTAGATATGTATATTGTGATTGTGATATCTTCTTAACGAGTTCGGTAACCCCTACTTTTTTGTGTGATTTTACTTTAAAGTGGAAGCCAAGTCCGTTCTGCGCATCGGTCCTGCTCATAACAATGTGCCGACCTCTAATGTGAACATTGCCCAAATTTCGAATGTTTCGAATTTTTCTGAACATAAACTCTATTTCATATTCATTTAGAAGCATAGCAAACCAAAATGGTGTTAGATTTTCAGACAGTACATCATATTTTAAAAATACAGCAGTTCAAAATGTAAACAAGCCGTTTGTTTACATTACGGACTTGACTTCCACTTTAAGTATATCATAAACTTCATGAAGTTTCAGCACATTCTCATTTCGAGAACAATTACTGCGGAATTACCTTAAATATTAGTTTAAAAGTGTGCATTGTTGTTTTAGGCTTTCAGATAAATTTGGCACAAAATCAGCCGCATCATTTAGAATTCTGATGTTCAGCTGGTTTAAACGTTTCTTGAAATCTGTCGTTGCGTTCGGTGACACTGCGAAGGAAGTCGTTAAAATTGTCTTTAAATACTTCAATAGTCTGAGAGGTAAAATATCAATGTTGAATAATTAAAATTACTAACATTGGCACTGATTTGATGTCAGTGTTAGTCAAACTTAATCTTCGTTCAGTTATACAATTGGGTTGTCGTTCATATATGTTTTGCCAGTGAAACATAACTACAATGCACAAGATTGGGTAATACCAGTAAAGTGAAGCCTCGCGCACAGAATGGAGACAAACAGAAGATCGACTTCTTGATTTTTCCTATGATTTTGGCGTAACCGTAATTCGTCATCAAAATGCTGACGCCATGGTCCTACCAGTGCGCTTAGAGGCATTCACCCCCCTGACAATATTCAAAATGGTAGATGTCCACGGGGTGAATGTCTGTCATAAGCACACCGGCTAGGACCATGGCGTCAGCATTTTGATAACAAATCATTGCGAATCATGGCGTGGCAGCGGTTACGCTTTTTCGGCTGAGTCGACCTTCTGTGTGTCTTTATTCTGTGCCTCGCGTGAGCAACGCGTACAGTAAGCAGTGGCGTCAGCCCTCAGCCCATTCTCGTACCCAGAGCCCTTCTTACGCACGGTGCGACGAGGGGCTCTGGCCAAATCCATAACCGGATACCATAAAAACATGGTAAGAAAACAATATCCGGTGTTAGAACTAGCCAATCAGATGCCAGTTCGGATATGGATTTGGCCAGAGTCCCTCGTCGCACCGCGCGTAAGAAGGGCTCTGGGTACGAGAATGCCCTCAGGAATTTCCACGTTATATAGTCAGTCAGTTTCAGTCCCCCACAATTTTTGCACTGCGTGGTCAGTGCGTTAATGTCAGTTTGCATTGTGTTTTTTTTTTTCGAAAACAAGTTTAAGAACAATACTTTAAAGCAAAGTTATTTGAAATTTCCGTTTTTTTGAAACTCGCAAAAGTTAGTTTGTGAAAAGGTTTGATAAAAATAAGATACACGAGGGAAGAAGCTATCGTGCGGGAGGGCTATATTGAGCTCACTGGTTAAGTCGTGTAAGGAAAATTTTCCTTGATAATGCGCCGATGAGATGGAGTCGAACTACTGCTTTGAGTAGGGATGACGGTGCTTTTTTGCCAGAAGAGTATATCCATCTTGTTGGCAGTTAACGTCATCCTATGGGTATATAAGAGCCACATTGAAACACTAGATTGGAGTGTCGAAACATTGGGTCGTGAATACAGCAATGGACCTATTACCTAATGAGCAAAATTTTGATCTAGACATTGATACGGTACCGCTTTTTGAAAAAGGGTATCAATTTCCCGCGCATGATACAAAATGACTGAAAAAAGGCAAACTTTGCAGGGCTATATTATCCACATTTTACAACATTTTGTAACGAAACTTCGGAATATTACTAATTTTGTGATGCTCTTTCAAGCTGTGATGAAATTGTTGTCTAGACTTGTCTAGATCAATATTATGTTCATAAGGTAATATGTCCATTCGACTGGGCTTTGCATTTATAAATTAAAAAAAAAAACAGAGTAGCGAATGAAAACATGATATAAGTTAAACATGATATAGATAGAATGAAAACTGTGGACGGTCGAGAGTCAGCCCCGAGTTAATTCAGCATCAGAGTTTTCCTTAAAGTTTTATGAGAAGAATATTGTAGTATAGTTATTTATCAATTTATTATGTTTTTAGATGAACTTGAAATCCCTAGTGAAGGATACGACAATGCAATGGTGGCCATGATACGTTGTTTGGAATTTCTGTTAAAGAATTCTTTACAATCCTTTCTTAATTTTGCCGCCAAATGTTGGATACCCGGTCTTGTAGAGATTTTAAAACTCGACAGAGTCGAGGTGAGTACTGGTTCTTACCAAACAATTCTAACGTCGGTTTAGTGATAGCCCGATTTTGGGTGAAAGTTCAAGGAACTTCCCTTTGGCGTAAAAAAAATACCTGTGGTTCCGGTTCCCGACCGACCCTATTTTTTCTGCCGACCCTATTATTTTTTCAACGCGATTGACCGTGCGACCCTATTTTCTCCGGGTGGTTGCGGGCTGCTCATACAGCGTGCCAAAATGGCGTCTGTTGTCACACTAATTATTGAACCAAATTGCCTAAATTCGTCCATAGGAAATACGCATCTCTAGTTAATATTGATGTCGAGACTCTACTGCAAATCGCCCAGCAAAAAACCGCTAAAACTATGAAAAAAAATATTTAAAAAAAACTTATTTCCGACCTACCGATGCTAATTTTTTGACGCCGATATGAAACCGGAACCACAGGTATTTTTTTCACGCCTTAGCTTGAAAAATGTCAAATGACGAATCAAAGTCAAAAGTTGACTTTGAATTTTCATGTTTATTACTCGGGTTCTACACTTCGCAACGAGGTTCTTTATCAATTACCCCCTGCCTCGTACCCAGGCTTCTTTTTGTGAAAAACAGCAATGCGCATATGACGAGTTTACATGAAGTATTGTAGTGGCGAGAGAAGGGCGAAGGGGCTGATGAGAAGAGTGCACTTGACGCATCCCTTCCCAACAGCCCCTTCGCGCGTCGCCTGCCTCGTGTATTATAATTATTTAAAGTGCCTAGGCAGAATTATCCCGGGTACGAGGCAGAATTACCCCGTTATCTCGAACTCTAATCACTTCGACCTCAATTCGGAGCGTAAACATGCACACAAAACGGATTATAATAAAGAATATCACGATTTTGTTAGCATTTCACTCCATTGAATAATACAGTAGTTGAAGGGTATTGTATAGGTGGAAATTATCGAGTGGAAATTTCTAGAGTAGAGATCATCATTTTCGGTAGAGATCATATTTTCGAAAATAGCAGAATATATAAATAGTCATCAGGCTCATTTGTCTACAAATTATTTTGTTTGCTTATATTTAATCATTTATCTAGTCATAATCATAGTTTTACACAAAGAACAGTTGAATAAAATATTAAAAACGTACATTATTCTGACATGGCAGCTACGGCTGAAGAAAGACGAAAACGCCTTGATGCGTTTGTTTCTCGCGAAACACATGTAGCTCGCGGGTGATCCCGCGAGGCACGTTTGATCACACGTGACAGTTACTCATAAACAATGGCGGCGCGAGAAACGCTTGAACTTGATGAGGAAAATCCAGCGTCGCTGATTGAGATAAAATATTTTTTTTAAATAAAATTTTTTTCCGACCTACCTACCCATATAAAACATGGTTGTGAAACCTGAAACCAACTATTATTTTTATTTGGCCTTTACTAGACCTAGGTTAACTAGAAAACTTTAACCCGAATGTTTTTTGAGTGTACGCTTATTTTTTTCTGCTGTATATTTAGCCATCACTTTGTCAAAGGGAGGCGATCTCGTTCTGTAAGTTGTTTTTAAAGAACAGACAAGAAAGTCATGAAGACGTCAGCAGTTTGATCGCGTGGATTGAAGAGATGAGTGAAAAGAATGTCAAAAATGATTCACGGAATCTTGGCCGTCTGGAAGAGTTGTTGTTCTCACATTTTAGGGTAAGATTATTCTTTCTCCTGACTTTTACGAAGTGATAATTTTATCACTTGATGATACCCTAACTATGACCGCGCTCTCGCATAGATGATATCAGGGCGCTTATATAGAGGGCGGTGAAACGCGCTGATGTCGCGCTGATCGATGTGTGATGCGGAAAAGGACTGGCACGAGCGTGCTTTTCGGCAAAAGTTGACAAGGAGCGTGATTTTTCCTGTTGTTGTATTTTTGCTGTTTTTTCATTAACTACGAAATTCTTGAGGATGTTTTTGCACTGTAACGACGAAGTAGTAACTAGTGTATCGTACGAATGCTTGTTTGGCCTGTATAGATGAATTTTGAAAGAAATATTGAGGATAATGAGTCGGGCTTTTGATGACTTCAATGAAGGGAAATTTTCAAAACAGCATTTGGGCATGTTATCAAGTCGTCCAAACTTCGAAATTCAGTTGATGGTAAAGATTATAATTATGTGCTTATCTCCAAAAGTTTTCATAAGACTCGGAGTTGAGCAATTGAATACACAGCGTTGGAAAGTGAGGTATTTTTGTGTGTTAAATTTTGCCTAATTAGACCATTATTTCGCTGCAAAAAAAATAAACAACAATTGTATTTTGGCCATGTCATGATTTTTGGTTATTATGTTAATAATTTTGTACGACTTTTAAGGCATTCAATTGAAGTAATTCTGAGCCGTAAACATATTTTACTTCTTGGCCTTTGAATCAAAATACGACTCGCTCGGACGTTTGTTGAGCGCAATAGTCGAAAAGGTTTCGTCCCAACTTTGATTTTTTTTGACCGGCTGGCCAAGACAACTTCTCGTAAGGATTCGTTAAAAATATACAAATTCAAGTTGAGCATTTCTTGATTTTCAACTGAAAAGATCAACTAGTGGCTAAAATTAATTGTGAATTGTATTCTATCGAACGTGAACGATACGTGTACATCCGAAGAGTTTTAAAAACCTTTCACGTCATGCTTCTTTCGAAAGCAACCGTTCGTAAGCTTTCGCAAGCGTTTTGAGCAAAAACTCTAAAATATTGGCAGTATTACCTGAAAATACAATAGCAGAATCTACTAAATTATCGTATAACATCGGAATTTTACCCCCAATATATATTTCTTCATCAAAACTTGACTACAAAACAGTCAAAACTTCCAGCTCAGTTTTCCCGCCATATTTATCCTTGCCATATAAGACAACGTCGCCATAGTAACCACAACAAACTCGTTACCAGTTCATTGCATCACACATTGATCGGCGCGCCTATAGCCGTTTCACCGCCCTATATATAAGCGCCCTGGATGATATGGAACTTACGTAAGCAAATCGACAAACGCAAAGACGACGGCTCTGAATACAGTGACATGAAGCAGTGTACATGAGACCTGAGTTAATAGACCTATCGCAAAACCCCAAAATGCGCGATTTAAACGCACTGGTTTTTAACTTGGTGTTTCGCAGGTTTTTATGTGGAATTCATCAATTAAGTGTAAATGATCGCAACTTCACGTTTCTCATTTGAAAGACCGTTTGAAAATATTTATAAAAACTTGTCACAGATTTTTCATATATTGCTTTTTTCAAACAGTTTGTATATGACATATCGTCTTATTTCTCTCTTTTGACACACGTAATAAAACCTAATTGTTAAATGTTGTATTTTTCAGTTTGGTGTCAAAAACTCAAGAGGCTGAGAATCAGCGAAATATATTTCTTAATATGCCATACTTTGAGTCTTTTAGTTTTTAATTATACATTTTGACAATTTTACAATTAACAATTAGGTTTTATCAAGAACTCTTTCCTTGCTTCGGCGAATAAAATTGTCGAGAAACATATCTTGCTTGATTCTTGAAATATTTCGACTGAAAACAATGTGGTGTCCGCCATCTTGGATTATTCAGGATATGCGTATTACGTCACAAATGGGGTCACGCAAGTTTTTTATCTTGACAGGCAGTGATCAATGTGAACCCGAAACCATAGGAATCACAATAAATATAGTTGTAACAAATAAAAAGCGTTAAATTTGTTTAATTTTGAATAAATTTGCATGGTATTACCGTGCTTTGACTGTTTTCAATCTTGCGCTGTGAATTCAGTGATGTAGTAAATCGCGTATACGAAGCATTAAGTTATAGTTATTGAGTATACGAAGCATAAGATATAGTTATAGTCAATAACTATAACTTATGCTTCGTATACGCGATTTACTACGTCACTGAATTCACAGCGCAAGATTGAAAACAGTCAAAGCACGGTAATACAATGCAAATTTATTCAAAATTAGACAAATTTAACGCTTTTTATTTGTTACAGCTATATTTATTGGGATTCCTATGCCGAGACTTGTTTTTCAGATTTCGAATTGAATAAAAACATTTTAAACTAGAGGGCACTCAGAGACTGCATACCTCCGCCCCCATTGAATTTCGGTCGTGTGAAATGCAACTAAGACAATAGATAATGAAGGCTGAAGCTTAGTGAGATTTATCATCTCACTATTGTCTTAGTACTGCGTGCATACATTATACACGTCCTAATTACGCATTCAGTGAGTTTTTTTTAATTGACCGGGAAAAGCAAGGCAAAATTTTGTTCATTTCTCGTTCAATTTTTAACCAAATTCAACCAAATTTTAATCAGTTCTTCCTTAGCTGATGGGAAATGCATTCAAAAATTTTCGTGTGAATAGGTTTGGTATTTCATGAGTTATCGTGCTCACAGACAAACACACACACATACATACACACACACAAACACACACACATACACATACACACACACATACACACACACACACACACACACACACACACACACACACACACACACACACACACACATACAAGCCCATATGATTACATAACCTCCTGGCGGAGGTAACAACTTTATAACAATGGTTAACGAGGTTAAGAATTAATCCAAGATGGCGGCCAGCTCATTGCTTTTTCACAGTTTCAGTCAAAATATTGTTAAGCTTGATATGAGAAATCAGCAAACAAGATTTTTTAGATAATTTTAAACGTTTATTCAAATGAGAAAATAACATTTTTTGTCGCCATTTTCTTTTAAACATTCAGTTGTTTTTTTTTTTAATTTTCTTCATTTTGTCATTAGGATTTTCCTCCAATTACACGACATTTTGATCAAGATAAACGAACAATACTTCTGCCGAGCAAAAAGTCCAGGTATGTTTGGGTAGAAAGTTAACTCTTTTTGGTAGTTCTACTGTGGTTATTGTCAATTTCAAGTCACTTTTCAACGCACGGCTTCCAAGTTCTTTGCGAACTTGCTATATGCAATTACGTTTCCAAGTTTGGAAAATGGGCGCCAACTTCGCAACAAAGTTTGCAAGTTCATTTCAATGTTTGAACTTTGTTTGTAAACAAATGTTCACAACCAATAATAATAACCAATTCATTGAAATACAAACCTTCTTGGTAGATCACTGGACCAAGAACTTTCCATTGGCATTGAATTGTTAATTCAGTAGTTTCAACTTGATCTATAAACATTTGTTTACAAGAGAAGTTCAAACATTGAAATGAACTTGCGAACTTTTTTGCGACGTTTACGCCTAATTTCCAAACTTGGAAACGTATTTGGCAAGTTTGCAACGAACTTGAGACCAGCACGTTAAAAAGTGACTTGAAATCGATAATAAATAACATCGATTTTATCATATAAGCAAAGTTAACGGTAGATGCATTGTGACGGTTTTGACTTTTCAATTCCAGCACATTCTTTTTGTTCTTATATCTCCGCTAATTATTTTGCTTTCTTGCTTCAGAGTACGATATATAACAACATAACAATATAACTTATCATGAGCCAAATTATGCAAAATATTAAGTCGAGACTTCAATATTGGGCGAAACGGAAAGTTGGGGGTAGGGCATCGGGTGGAATAAGCCTCGTCGAATATAAACCCTTCCATTTATACACAACTAAAGTTTTTATTTTGTCCTGTAATTTAGAAGAAAATTACGTGATTCTTCTCTTACATCGCCGTTGTTGGATGGTAAGGTGTGCTTGAAAAAGCTGAACGTCGGGAAAACAAGTGAGAAAATTAAGTTGATAATTATTGTTTGGATAGTCGTGATAATATTTCTTCCGAAACTAATTTCAACCGCAATAATCGCTGCCGCCTTATAGAATGTTTAAAGAGACTAGTTTTGGTGCATACAGGTGTATAAAAAAAACTGCACAGTTCGAAAATGTTCGCTAAACTTCACATTCCGCAAAATTTGTGAAAACTTTATGCAAGCATATGGGTATGTAGTTTGGGGTTTGCTAGTATCTTTACCACTGAAATTATTTTGAAAAGTAAATTTCGGTTTTACAAAATAGGAAATATATAGATAATGCCACTGATAAGGATAAGACGATACCGATTAACGGTCAATCACTAGTAACATGGATAATAAAATAAATGGATTGGAAACTTCTGACGTCATTGACTGCATCCTTGTTGAAAAACGTGACGTCACGCGTATTGCGAATGTTACCAAAGTTATCGGCATATTTGTTGTTTTGCTATATTTTCCACTTTAAAAAGGTGATCTTGAAGCGTAAACTGGTCTAATTGTTTTAAAAACATGCCTAAGCCACGACAAAGTATTCAAGGTAAATGTTTTTCGTCTTTGTTTTGTATTTTTTTACATTTGTAGCTACGAAATTGGCGTCACAAATTTGAACGAAATTTGCGATGTATTTTTCACCGTTTTGTGCTTGAAATATTTGCTAAAATTGACTGGGAATACTTAGAGTTTTCATCGTAGAATGGCGTGGTTACATTTATTTGCTCTTTGACTAAAATGTTTAGCTGTATTATTGCTAAACATGCCGTTTTTGAGAATTTGATTTTCAACTAGGTTGAGGCATCCAACCACGCCATCAATCCCAGTAAAAACATTAGGTCACGTCAGCTAGTTTCCTATCCATTTATTTTATTATCCATGCTAGTAAGTAGCTAAGATCCTGATATTTGTGTGTATTGGTGTTATGTACTCAGGTGAATATGATGTTTGTGATGTTACTCTGAGTGTGCTTCCACTCCGGGCAAGCTGAAAAGTTAGCTTGGCCACGGTGGGAATCGAACCGGCGACCTTTAAAACTCAGTTCCGAAATATCATCAACCGACTTGACCGCGGGTTCTATTCCCACCGTGGCCAAGCAAACTTTTCAGGTTGTCCAGTGTGGATGCACACTCAGAGTTAACCTGAGTATCAGGCCCTTATGTTTTCATTCGCCAGGATAAAATTGGCGGCGGCGAATGAAGGAGGGCCTGATACAATTCTTTACCGCGCCGCATGTAAAAAGCCAGATTCTGGCTGTTTCGTCTGATTGGCCGATTAGACAAAATATTTTTTAATTAGTCATTTGATTGGTTGGTGCTCATTAGATTATACTATTGTTGTTGATATATTTTATAATGGTCACAACTACAATCATAGCCAGCCCACTAAACGGCTGAATTTAAATTAAAACTGCAGTAAAATTAGAAAATAATCGCAAATTAGCGAAATATATTGCAAATGTAGCTTATATTAAATCTAATTTGTGATTATTTTTGTTAATTTTATAAGTTCATTGCAGTTTTAAATTCAGCCGTTTAGTGGCTGTCTATGCTATAATTGCATTGTTGTTGTCGTTGTGTAAAATTTAAATTTCATCTGCGACATTTTGATTGGATACTAAATATAAACTTTGCTGTGGGTGGAAAGCGATCAGGTTAAGGTTTGTGTCAGGCTCTATTTGTAAAATAGAGCCTGATACTCAGGTTAACTCAGAGTAACGTCTCAAACCTACCTAAGATCCTGTTTATATTTATACGCCAAGATTTTGCCTTTCTTTTTAGGTGTTAGCTCAAGTTCATCCACCAAAGGCAAAAACGATGACTCATATTCGTGTCTCAAACCTGTCAAGCCTATCAAGAAAAGTGTACCGTTAAAGGGTTCATTAAAAATAGAAAAAATTGGAATAGAAAAATGTAAGAAGCTTAAAGCCATTCTTGGTCTTTTCTGTGAAATTTAGAAATTTTGTCTGGCGAAAATCCACCACTTGTTCGTATTTTGAATTTTAGCGCGTCCTGTGGTGCCAACCATAGCTTTTAACGTTTAAATTAAGAATGATGTTAGGGCCACAGGGGTGTGGAACTGAAACGATGATAACAGGGCGGGGGACTCTTAAAAGGGGGTGGGTGAGAAGACGTGGGGTGATAAGACGTGGAGACCGGAGAGGATCTAGCAATTCTTCAAGTACTATAATAGTTTATAATACAAAACATAATCCGAAGATAAGCATCTTGAAACCCAAAATATGAGTCAAACAAGAAAGTGAGTGAGTAATGTTTCGATTTTATTACAAAATCATCATCAGTCTGATGATGATTTTGTAATAAAATCGAAATATTACTCACTCACTTTCTTGTTTGACTCATATTTTTGGTTTCAAGATGCTTATCTTCGGATTATGTTTTGTATTATATTTTTTGAAATTGTCGGCTGGTATTGGTTTTTACTATAATAGTTTGGTTTGTGGAAACACCACGTAAATTTTATTACTACAAAGCTTTCGATCCGTAAGCCCGGATCTTCATCAGTGCTAATAATATGTGACTTGTTTAATTCACACGCTCTTTTTATATACAAAAGTGTCGTGATCTGTTGGCTCGCGTCATTTGAGCCAACAGATCACGACACTTTTGTATATAAAAAGAGCGTGTGAATTAAACAAGTCACATATTATTAGCACTGATGAAGATCCGGGCTTACGGATCGAAAGCTTTGCAGTAATAAAATTTACGTGGTGTTTCCACAAACAAAACAAAGAACTTATTACAGACCTCTTCAAGTACTGTTTTTTGAAGAACGGTCTTAACATGATATAAAAGATTCAGATAATACCGAAGCTATTTCATGTTCAAGCCACGTAAATTTCTTGCCATTAGATCATTTATCATATCATATCATTATGTAATGGTAAGATCATAATAATCAAGTGGAAATTACTAAAGTCATTACCACATCATTTAAACCCTACGGCAGCAAAGAATTCTCTAGGTTATGAATATGCAATCTGCAAAAATATTGGTAGGTCAGCTCCCAAATGGACATGGAATTTTTAAGGGGCTCAGTCCCCCAACTGAAATACCAACAAGGAAATCTACTTGGGGACCGTTGTATAAAACTTTTGAAACTTTTAACTGTTTTTTAACCACTGTTTTGTAGTTAGATAGTAGGCACCGTTACATGCAGTTTGTTTACGAATTAAGTTAGCACGCATGCATGTAAACCCAACATGTTTCAAATGGAGCAAAGAAATTTAAACGAAAAGCATTTGAATTTATTGTTTTGAGACCCAAGATGCTTGGTTTTGCAAGCGGTACAAAAAAGTAACGGCGTTTGTGTTCACACGAAGCCGACGAGCGCTCCGTTTTCATCTCGCTCCGTTTGGAAACCGTGCTCAAATTGTTATGGCGAAAGTGATGTTTTCAAACACTTTCACTCTGGCGTAGTGTGAACGCGACGGCTTATTGTGACGTTTCTAACCACTCGAGTGTTGTGTAAACGTTGTCTAAATTTATATGCGTGTACGGTGTTTTATATTTTTACATATCAGCTGAATCATTTTCTTTGTACATTAATTAGGGACCGGTCAAGTGATGTAAAAAAAACTAGTTACCCTTTCAAAGTTTCAGATTTTTTCTCACCCACCTTGCAACTAATGACTATTAGTTTTTTTGACCCACCCCACCAAAATTGATTGCAGAAGATCGATAAAATGCTAAATGAGTGTACTTTTCTATTTAAGTTTTTTTTTTAAATTTTGTAAATTTTATTGATGCTGATGTTATAATCCCTAGTGTTTTTTTACCCAACCCCCCATGGCTATTCAATTTTTTCTTAACCCAACCTTGGTCACTCGGCATTTTTTCTTGACCCAACCATTTTCTCTTTGGTCCCACCTCCACTATTAATAATGACCGGTCCCTTAATTGTTTAGTTGTCAAAACGAAGCAAGATCCTATCGTTATATCGGATAGTTCAGATGATGACAGCTTGAATGACGATGAGCCTTTGGGACATCGATACTTACGAAAAAGGGCGGGAGGAGAAGGTAATTGATTGAAGGCAGAATACTTGATGGTTTATATAAGATGAAACATTCCGCGCATATTAACATCTTTTATTATATGGCAAGCATCACTTTCGGTGAAATGGCGAACTGTGATTGGCTGAGAAGCTCTTTCAGCGGTGCATTATTTTCCCGTAATGGATCGGCGGTCGATTACTGTACGTAGAAACAAACGGGTGCATTTTAAAACAAAACAGCAAAACTAATTGAAAATTATAATTTAATTTGTCATTAATAATCCACGAATGATTTTTAGTGGAAAAGGAGGGACACATTGGTTTTGTTTGTTTTTTTCTTCGACCAAATGACAATGCGTACCACGCTAGCTACTAATATGCATTTCAAATCATGTATTTCTTGTTTGTTTGAAATATAAATGCCTATATAAATGTCATATAATAAACTTTTTATTAGCCTCGTACAGAGAAATATGGACCTCGATCTTTTTGTCAGGGGTCAGGGCTCAGTCTGTACAAAGATATTTCTCTGTACAGACCTCGCGTTCGGTTAAGATAGATAGATGATTTATTCAGTTTTAAGTAATGTTTACAACATGAGCGGCCGTGTTGTATCAGATATGTGTTGTATCACAACTTAAAAAACGACTCATCTTATGAGTTCATCGGCGAAGTAATTTTAAAAATAAACGTTGTCTAAGCCGAGAAAATCAAAGTTAAAGTTTATGTAAATCAACATGAATCTGTATCACATATACAGATACGACACGCTTATGATTTTTCTTTGTGTTTTCTTCATGAATTATTAATGAGTTTTTTAAAAGACTTTACAGCTGATAATGGCTGAATTACAATTATAAAAATTTAAGAAACTTAATGATTAAAAATATTTACAGTTACTAACAATAAAAGAATTCGTAAACCGATCAGTTTTGGCCTTTGGAACGTTAAGTTGCCTTTTACGTCTCAGTTGCTATGAACAGTTATTTTCGGATGGTAGTAGAGATCTCAGTATACTGTTTATATCCATGCATGTTGATAAGAAGTTAGTAAACTCAAGATTGGAAAAAGGTCATTAAATTAATTTCGCGGAAGTTTTCTGATTTTCTATAAAAATCTAAACTACATGGAACTTTCAAAACATAAGGCATATATACTGTTTATACGCATGCATGCATATGGTTGGCAATTTTGAGGTCTGCTGTGTTGGTGTAATGTACTCAGGTGAATAAGATGCTTGTGTGATGTTACTCTGAGTGTATATCCACACCGGGCAGGCTTGAAAAATATGCCTGGCCACGGTGGGATTCGAACCTACGACCTTTGGAACACCAGCCCATCACACAAATTTTGAGGTCTTTGAAAAACTTACCCGTCATGCATGTTATATCCAAATTGCACTCGAAACCATGCTATTACCTACACCTAAAAGGAACTTATCAAAATGCTGCATTTTGCAGACAAACTGCCTTGCTATATAATATAATAGAATAGAATATCATGTTTCCGTGATGATGGCTCTGGAAAAATAGATTTTTTGTTGCTTTTGCAGAAGAATTTCCAGCTGAATATAAAAGAAAGTGTGTTCAGTCTGAGAAAATGTTCGCCTTGGATACTGACAATAAGAGAACGGGTGAGTATGGGTATAGCCCACTGACTCAAAGCCAGAATGAATACAGCAACGTGGTTAACTTTTACCACATAGGTTAAGTCGGGTGTATAAAAATGTATAGTTAGCGTAAACTGCAGTTCAAAAGTAGTTAAAGTTAACTATGCTCTAGGGCAGGGTTTTCAGTTCTGTGTGAAGCTCTGGCTAATGGCGACGAAGCTATGGCGATAGATATTATTTCTACCGATAGAATTTACAAATTTGGGCGAGTACGCATAATAGAGACGTGACTAAACGTAAAAGCTCTGGCGAATTTGGGTGGGGTTGAATGAAAAAGTCTGGCGAAATTCGCCGGCCTAAATTGAAAACCCTGCTAGGGCATTGTGAACATCCTAAAAAGTAGTTCAAAAATGGCGTTTGTATGGGAGCATTGAACTATAAGTAAACTAAAACGATAACTCCTAGGAGAAAGGCCTATGTTTGGGTGAAGCCAAAATTTGGGCGCTCAAGTACAACCTGTTCGCAGGCATATGTATGTATACGAAAATAAATACTGAATTTTTCACGAAGTATTTTTATTAATTTAATCCTTAATTTTAACATATTAAAGTACGTTTCTGGATGTGTGGACATCCATTAACAACTGTATCTAAGATTTTTCTACATAAATTGTATAAAATTGTCTCTGGAAAGTCTAAAAACTCAGAAAAACCATAAATTTTCTTGCTTTTTTTTTTCTTCCGAATTTCGTTTTGTTCGTGTCATATTTTGGCGGTTAAACAATATTTGCTCATTTTTTTGCTAAGTTAAAAGCTGTGTTGTCTACGTGAGCTCTAGGATAAATATAAATGCCTTGAAGAAAGTACAAGTGAGTAAATTTTAACGATTTTTAAGCTATATTTTTCGCATCCATTTTGTAAAAAAGAACTGGGGCAACCTGCAGAAAACACTCGTGGCCGGCTTCAAAGATGGCGGTCAACTTATCGTTCCAGTTTACTTATAGTTCAATGTATAGGAGTGAACAACATTTTTTCACTAAAACAATAATGAAAAGTAACGCTCACCTGGGATTTTCAATCGCTAAAACAATAATGAAAAGTAACGCTCACCTGGGATTTTCAATCGCTATCTTCATTGTGAATGTTTCCTGACAATATAAACTCTTCAAACGATATCGCTTTGGTTTTTTGGCGAAAACAGAATATATTTTTGCACTGCAGGAAGATTTCTCGAAGACGAAGTAGGGCGCATTACACGGAGAACACTGACGTATAATTGCCAAACAGCGCTAGCTACACTTTGTTTCAACGTATATCTCTCAAGGAAAAACTGCCTGCTCTTTTATTTTTGCCTTTTTTTATTTTGTTTAGTTTTCACTATTTTGAATATTTTATTTATTTTTCACGAGTCCACGATCATGTTAAAATCCTTGTCAGTGGTCGTATGTAGGTATTACTTTATGTAATTTTGTTTTTAAACGCCCCACGCAAGCCCCAAGCAAGCCCCACGAACAGTTAACTACGTGATTAGTTAACTATCCGACTAACTACGTTTTGTGCAACGCATGTATGTAGTCATGTATTAAGTCATGTATGTAGTTAACTAACTACAGTTAAGGACTAGTTACGCTAACTGCAGTTAACCTTAACTGCGGTTTTATATAACCGCCCCCTGTAGATTCGTTTGCGGTAGCCAAACCAATACGCCGCCAATGACTTCGTTTATGTACAGCAGATGCTCTATCCAGTTTCGGTTTTTGAGATCAGTGTTTGTAGTTGTATGGGGACAAGACATAGGGTGCCCATCTTGAGTGTGTCATCAAAACATTTACATTAGTTCAGTAATTTTAGCTCATTTTAAGGCCAAGGTTGGAAAAAAATAGTAAAAAGCTAAAAATTGTTAGATGCAATCATTTAACTATCCTGAACAATATACTAAAAGTCCCCATGTATCCTCTTGGAGCTTTTTCCATTATGACAAGGTTTTTTTCGATTTCCCTATTATTTCCATATTGTTAAAAACGTGAAATTTCAAGTTCACTCATAACAAAAATGACTCGCGTCACTAGTGAAAGCTCATAAAAACTACATATAAGGCATTTAAACAGTCACCTAAATTTTTCAAGTGGTTTTCGAGTTATTGCTGTTCCAAATGTGAAAAATAGGCCAAAATCTGGCAAAAATCGTGGGTACTAGTCTGACAACACGTTTCCAACAGCTAATAACTCAAGAAGAACTTGCAAAATCAAGGTAGCCGTTTAAATGTCTTATATGTAGTTTTTTTGTAATTTTTCTAATGATGTAACTTATTTTTCCTATAAATGAATCTGAAATTTCACTTTTTTAACAATATAGGAGTTCACTAGGGAAATGGAACAAAAACTTGTCATAATGGAGAAAGCTCCAAGAGGATACATGAGGACTTTTAGTATGTTATTAAGGTTGCTGAAGAGAGTACATACGCCAATTTTTTACTTTTTAGTAATTTTTCTGACCTATTTTCTATTTTGATTGTACTACATGCCGTGTGTGCTGACGCAGAAAATAAATACTCAATAGGCCATTTGCAGAATTACTGGAGTATGTAATATCATAAAAATATTACATATACTTACTAATTCCACGTTTTAGTCAGAAACGTAAAAATACAACCATACGATGGTATATCTAAATATTTTTGGCCATTTTCAGGGAACATATCAATAAAATATACACAGTAAAATACAGGCGACAAATTTCGATCACATCAACATTACTTTTTGTGATGCCAATTTCTTGATTACGAAAGTGAAAACATTTACCTCGAATACTTTGCCGTGGCACAGGCATGTTTTAATATAGCTACTTCAATGATTAAAGTGAAACGATTAAGGTTACAGAACACCTTTGAGTGTTAATTTTGCGTAAAATTGTTTTACTGGTTTCTATGAAAGCATTAGACTAGTCCTACTATCTGACAAAGTTTGAGCGAAAAGAGTTGAAAACTCGCAGAGTTGTTTGATAAAATACATTTTGCGGCAATAAGAAAAACATTGAAAATGTAATATTCAAATTCAATTTTCTCCTGAAACATTTTACGGCAATTACTGATTTTCAAACGAGTTATTCTCCTGCGGGTTTTAACGAATTTTTTTCAAATTTTCAGAAATATATTGCAGTCGTCAAAGAAATCGCCATATCAGCGGAATGACGAAATAAACAAAAATTTCCGAACACTATTTTTTAGAACAACTATTTTACTGTATAAAAATGATATTTTCATAAATATATCCTAAAACCAGCAGGAACACAACTCAAAAGCGTAAAGGTACCGCGATTTAAGATTTTCCTGAATAATTCTTACATTATTTTATTCTTTGTCAATTTTACAACTTTACCATATTTTGCATGCACTGGCAAACATTTGGTGAAAATTTGATGAAAATCGGACTGATTTTAAGCGCGCAGTAGCGATTTTCCGCAAAACGCCAAAAAGGGTGTCCTGTAACCTTAATTAAACAAAGTTAAAATTTGACAAGTTCTTAGGATCTACACTTTATAAGAAAGTTTTTCTGTAAAAGTGAAACAGTTTTAATGGAAGTTCCGAAAGAAACCTTGTAGTAACTGTAATGACGGGTAAAGCTGGATGAGTCGTACAGTCATAGTTTACAAATACACTAATACACACTGGGGAAAAAATGTAAAATCCGTACTATGAAATTTACAATTGCACCACGAAATCCATAGTATATTCATGCTATTTCTATACTATAGATCCATACTATAGAAATATACAATTATTGTGGATCATCAAAATCCATTCTATTTCCAATAAAGGTCCATATAATTTCCATTCTGTGACCTTATGTGGATTTTCAATTTTTTTTCCGGTGACATATGCACAGTACAGCGAAGGTAGTTATTAAGGTTACAGAACACCTTTGAGGGTTAATTTTGCCTAAACATTTTTTATTGGTTTCCATGAAAGCGTTAGACTAGTTCTACTATCTGACCAAGTTTGAACGAAAAATGTTGAAAACTCGCAGAGTTATTTAATAAAATACATTTCGCTGCAATAAGAAAAACATTGAAAATGTAATATTCAAATTCAATTTTCTCCCGAAGAATTTTACGGTAATTACTGATTTTCAAACGAGTTGTGCTCCTGCGGGTTTTGACCAATTTTTCTCATATTTTCACAGCACATCGCTAAAGACGTCAGTTTCAAAATTGTGTTCGGCTTTGTTCTAATTTTGGATATTTTAATAATAAAGAGCAATTCATTCAAACAATTCAGAAATATATTGCAGTCGTCAAAGAAATCGCCATATCAGCGGAATGACGAAATAAACAAAAAATTCCGAACACAATTTTTTAGAACAACTATTTTACTGTATAAAAATGATATTTTCATAAATATAACTTAAAACCAGCAGGAGCACAACTCAAAAGCGTAACGGTACCGCGATTTAAGATTTTCCTGAATAATTCTTATATTACTTTATTGTTTGTTAATTTTACAACTTTACCATATTTTGCATACACTGGCGAACATTTGGTGAAAATTTGATTCAAATCGGACTGATATTGAGCGCGCAGTAACGATTTTCCGCAAAACGCCAAAAAGGGTGTCCTGTAACCTTAAATTAATGCATATTATGTTAATGCATATATTTTTGTGTTTAGATACTATGAATATATCTTTCGTGAACATTGACAACGTCACTTCGATACCTGATTATGTTGATTATGGTGGTCACTTAAAATCCGTAGATTTGAGCAATCAGTTCGATACAGTGGAAACTGACCTCATCGCCAGCAACAATGATGACGTAGGTGATAGTGACGTAGATTTTGATGACACTACAGATCATAACATTAGCTCTGAATCTCGAAAACGAAAGATTAAATCCAGGACGGTATCCGATGAAGAGGCTTGCATGAGCTCAGGTGATGAATTGATGACAACACATGTGTTTTCGCCTGGTGTAAGCTGGCAAAATGAACACGAAGTAGATGACTCACAACGCGAAGAAACACTTGCAACTGTAATATCACGAATTAAGAGTGAAGTGAACGATTTTCAAGACGTAGGAACACTTGTAGCTGTTAAACCTGAAGTGGAGGATTCACAATACGAAGAAACAATTGCAAATGCCAGATCACGAGCTAAACACGAAGTGGAGGATGTACCGAACGAAAAAATACTTTCAACTGTGAGATCAGGAGTTAAATATGAAGTGATGGATTTTCAAGATGAAGAAACACTGGTAACTGCTAGATCACGAGTTAAACATGTAGTGGAGGATGTACCGAACGAAGAAACATTTTCATTTGGAAGATCACGAGTTAAACATGAGGTGATGGATTTTCAAGATGAAGAAACACTGGTAACTGTTAGATCACGAGTTAAACATGAAGTGGAGGATGTTCCAGACGAAGAAACATTTTCATTTGGAAGATCACGAGTTAAACATGAGGTGATGGATTTTCAAGACGAAGAAACACTTTTAGCTGCTAGATCACGAGTTAAACATGAAATGGAGGATGTACCAGACGAAGAAACATTTTCATTTGGAGGATCACGAGTTAAACATGAGGTGATGGATTTTCAAGAAGAAGAAACACTTTTAGCTACTAGATCACGAGTTAAACATGAAGTGGAGGATGTACCAAAGGAAGAAACATTTTCAATTGGAAGATCACGAGTTGAACATGAGGTGATGGATTTCCAAGACAAAGAGACACTTACAAATGTGAGATCACGAGTTAAACATGAAGTGGAGGATGTACCAAAGGAAGAAACACTGTCGACTGGAAGATCAGGAGATGAACGGGACCAATTGCAAGACAAAGAAACGATTGCAACTGGGAGATCACAAGTTAAGCACGAAGTGGAGGATTTGAAATATAAAGAAACACTTGCAATCATCAGCCCGGGACTTAAACATGAGTTGTTGAATTGTCAAAATGAAGAGACAATTGCCACTGTGAGATCACGAGTTAACCCGAACGAAGTGAAGAATTTACAACACGAAGAAACACTTGCAAATGCGAAATCACGAGCTGCAACTGAGTTGAAGGATGCAACAAACAAAGAAACGCTTACAACTGTGAAATCACTTGACAAACACGAAGCGAAGGATTTACAACACGAAGAAACACGTGTTGGAAGTGAATTGAAGAATTCGCCAAACGAAGAAACACTTGCGACTGTGAAATCACGGGATAAACACGGAGTAAAAGATATACTACCCAAAGAATCGATGGCAAAGAAACGAAAAATAAACGGTGGAGAGATGGCAACAAGTGGTTTCTCTGTCGGTACTTTGCTGTCAAATATCAAAACATCGCGAAACACTGACAATGTTGACGTCATGCCCAAAAGAAAAGTTGCGCAAGTTCCCCAAATAAAAGCTTCTTTGATTAAAACAGTCAATGCACCTGTGCCTGTTAAGCAAAGTCCGGTAACAAACAAGAAACCAGTGGAGACAAAACCAAGCAAACCGCTGACGATGGAAGAACTATACCACGTGGTAATTATAGATTGCTTAGATTCAATACAAACAACGAACGATAAGGAGCTGTTTTTTATGGGGCGAGCCAGTCCGGGTACCCGAGATGGCTCGGTCTTTGCGAGACCCTGCCTTTGTTATCACTTCCTGTTAAATTTCATCTTGCGTTTATATGGGAACCAAGCTAGCCCGCCTATAAGCGAGATCCTGCCTCGGCCGGGATCTCAAGACCTCCATAAAAACAGCCCCTAAAGGACATCGGCAATATATTTTAAGGTGATTTAGTTCGAATTCCGTAGTAGAATTTATTTTACACTTTTTTAACATATGTCTTAGTTTTCACAATATTTCAGTTTGTTTGATATGTAAATGAACTGAATCTATAAGGACATATGCATATGCATGGCACAATTTTGAAATGCTGAACATTTCGGACAGCATTGTATAATAACTATTTAAAGCTTCAACAAATTTTCAGATTGGAAAACCGAATATGCAATTGTAAGAATTTGAAAGAAAACAGACAGTAAAGGCTATGATTTCACGTTCTTTTTTTTACATATCAAGCAAACTGGAACATTTTGAAAACGAAGACAGATTTTGAAATAGTGAATAATGATGATATATTGTATTATTAACTAGATCAACTCAAAATTCATTGCCAATGTGCTCAGGAGTAAAAATAAAACTATGCTACAATTCGCTTTAGCACATTTTTTCCCATTCAGTATAAAAAAATTCGGCAATTTTGAAATGACCACTAAACTGAATATTGCACAACTGTTGCAAAAATGTATGTGAATATGGGTGATTTTTTGAACACTATATTCTTTCTTGAAATAAAACTCCCGAGTGCGAAAGGCCTGTTTAATAACATTAAAAATAATTTGTGCATAAAACTTTTTCTAGATTTTAAAATGGGATCCTACCATGTTGATGAAAAATTTTACTCCAGACATACGAAACTGTGGCCAAGTGAGGCTGATTTATGAAACCATGGATGATTATTACAACGTATTTAAACCACTTCTATTCTTGGAGTGCTGGGCTCAGGTAATGCTAAGAGAGGACTAAAGACCAACCTCGTTTCCAGGGTCATCCCTCTTGGAAAAAGCCAGTATACGGGGTTGCAATGCTGTGGCACAGAATAGGAGCCTTCTTGGTTTTTGCAATGCTGTTGCCATGTTCCTGGCCAGTGCGCTCACGAGAGGATTTCCAAGGTGTTTCGATCAACAAATTCCTTAAGTTTTCTTATAGCTCCAATACCTGACGATATCTTACTAGTACTAGTAATGAATTCAATATGTTTCCTCCAATTTAAGTTCTCGTCTGAACTCCAAGCACTTAGACAGGTTTCACTCTTTTGATCGACTGGCTATCGATCTTAATTCCAGGTTGGGCATACGTATCATTCATCTTATGCCGTGATCCGATCAGAACGTACTCTGTTTTCGTAATATTTAAACAAAGTATATTTGCAGACATCCACTTTCCTGAGGAAATACCACAAGCTATTTTTTTCTGATATGAAAGCATTACTTCTAACTGATATTTTTGTGTTCTATGTGTCAGATAGCAACGTCACATCCATAAGCGCTTCTTTTCCAAATTCATACATTTGAAACTTGCGCAAAAGTATTACACCAGGTAAAACAAATAAAAAATTCTCTTGTAGGCTCTCCGAGAGTGGCAAAATAAATCGAGGCATAATTTCACTTGTGTGGTCAAAACCATCAAAGAATTTGTCAATAATTTCTTGCTCGTCATATGTCATCAACGCGTCTGTACCAAAAGTAATTGCGATGAAAAACGTTTAAGAGAAAGTGACTTGATCATAGTGAAGATGAAAGATGAGAAACTGAGACCACTGTTTGCTATAGTGGATAGTGTTAAACAGGAGCGCAGTTGTCGGAAGCCTGGTGACGAGGGAAATAGTGGTAAGTTTCGGTAATCGTTCCATGTTTCGCGCACCAATATAGTAAACGTCATGTAATGCATGGATACTATCGTGTACTGCAAAGACAACTGGATACCTACATATATATATATATAGAATTTCGCTTACCTCAAAATTCCGCAACAGTCTGTTTCATCAGTAAAGAATCATGATGATTCTTTACTGATGATGATTCTTTACTGATGATTCTTTGCTGATGAAACAGACTGTTGCGGAATTTTGAGGTAAGCGAAATTCTACATTTGCTCTATCTTTATGATAGTATTCTACATTTGCTCTCTCTCTCTCTCTCTCTCTCTATATATATATATATATATATATATATATATATATATATATATATATATATATATATATATATATATATATATATATATATATATATATATATATATATATATATATATATATATAATATAATATAATATAATATAATATATATATATATATATACCCTAACCCCTAACCCTAACCTATATTGGTGCGCGAAACATGGAACGATAACCCAAGTTTCAATCTCGAACTCTGAGCCTGCAATCCTCTGTGGAGGCTTGCTGAGGCTCTTGGAAGCACCAGCGAAAATCGGACTCTGATTGGCTGTTTTTTAATTGTTCGTACCCATTTCTTTGACACTGATTCCGTGCTAATAATTATTCAAACTGTAACACTATTTAGTGATCAAACATAGTTTAATGAATAAAAAGTTTTATTTCTGTTTGTATATTGTGCTTAAACATATTATATCAATAAAACACACAATATAACTTTAATAAACTTATTCAGTTATTTCCTTCGCTTCTCATATGAATCAATGGACTATTCTGATATTATGCCAATAACAGAACTGTATAATACGAACAGTGCGGCATTACCATATAAAGTCATGAAAAACCGTTGCTTGTAATATCAAAATCAGCATTACTCTCGAAGCTAGCAACACAACAATCCATGATTTACCATATGCAAACCCCTGGCAAGTGCTCTTTGAAGAATTAAAGTCGTATCAAAACCCTGGCAAGTGTTCTTTGAAGAATTAAAGTCTTAGTAAATTGAACAATGGCACAATTCATGTTTGGCGGCAGCAATTTTCATTTATAAATGTCGAGCGGGGTACTGGATTCAAATGTACTGATTTTCGTGCAAAATTCACTGGTGTTTCCCAGAGCCTCAGCAAGCCTTCACAGATGAATGCAGGCAGAGTCTCTTAGAGAAAATCAGGGGCCTGGGCAAATTTTTATTTCGGGGCCCCTATTTTTCTCTAAAAATGTTGGCTAAAATTTTTTTCTCATACCATTATTTATAAAAAACATTTTTTAATTACACCTTTTGTGCCCCCCTCCCTTTTGCAAATTTTGGGGGCCCCTTTAAGGCTCGGGGCAAATTACCCCCACCCCCTCTCTCTGAGAGGCCCTGATTGCAGACAAAGGCCTGTTCATATGAGCCAGGTGGGACATAGCTTTTACGTCCCACCTTACGCAAGGTTAGGTCTCACCTAGCCAGGCTGGTAGTTTCTCATATGAACCCGAATTTACCATGTTGTAATTTTGCGATCTAAATTGTGTTATTCCTATATAGATATGCAATACTTCGATCTGAGCATTACTCTCCGACTGATACCGAAAGAACGCGGGCTGCTTGTTCACGAGACCATACGTTGTGATGTCGTCACGTCATTAGTTACAACATTACGTCAGTGGCGAGGGATGATGTTTTTCCCGCGTAGTCTCTTGGCCCGAGATATGTTGCAGCCTAGGATCGACAAATGTTGCAACAATAAATTTCATACTGGAAAGACTGCTGGCGAACAGGTATGTGACACTCGAATATTTGGTCAAATAAAGCGCCGGGGTTCAGAATCTCAAACTCATTAATAATTCGTGAGTAAATTAGCCAACCATATTGCTTTATTTTGCTCACATGATAATATACACTTAATGTCTGCTCCCGAGGGAAATAGTTAGTTTTGTTTTCCCGAGAATCTCAATGTTTCCCGAGAAGAAGTCGAGGGAAACATTAAGATTCGAGGGAAAACAAAACTAACTATTTCCCGAGGGAACAGGCATTAAGTGTTTTGTTATATAGCGACGAACAAAAATCAACTTCAACAACATTCATACAACAATTGTATTTCGTGACAAAAACTCTATAGTGTAAACGAGTTTAAAATTAAAAGAACCTACTTAAACGGTTTCAGCAGCATATCCTGTTGCCTGTTGTGTATTTTTCTTCTCTTTTATATTCTTTATTTGAACACAAACTTGGAAAATCGTAGTTTCTAATTATCTGAGTTGTGCCTCCATTTTGTTTATTTATGTACGTTGCCGGTCGGGGCGGGCAACAATTTTTCACTTGTTGCCCGGCGGGAAACATTGCATTTATCTGATGTCACGTGACCACAAATCAGCCAATCACGTTTGGTGTTCACGCTAGCTATATAACATTATATTCACAAGGTCTGGATATGAGGTATTCTGCAATCTGATTGGTTCTCTACTAGCAGGATATTAGCTCATATCCTGCTGGTAGAGGAAAACAAAATGGCGGCCAAACTGAATTTACGATGTTTTGCAAACGAGAAAACGGCAAGTTGTCGCTTTTTATAGCCTTCACATGATTAAAAACACAATGAAAAAACTCCCACAAATTGTTTTCAGGTTAGCAAATAAATGTTTAAAATTTAAAATGGTTAAAACTATATATTTTTGAAAAATAATCGGCCGAAAAAGCGAAGATAAAAACATAAACAAAATAGAAAAATATTGAAAATATTCGAAAAGCAAAGTCTGTGAATTCAGACCTTGTGTATATAATAAAACAGTTATTCCACCCACTCTCGTCGAATATGAGCGATAGCCGATTCGGCGCTACGCGCCTCATCGGCTATCAGCTCATATTCGACTCGAGTTCGTAGAATAACTGTTAAATACTGA